TTGTTACAAATTTCGTAGGTTGAAGGCACAAACATTTCATGTGCTGACATTCCCTCTTCACAGGTCACCACCCGAGGCGATTCAGGGCCGTCGTTTTTCTCAGGCGTCCGACGTATGGAGTTGGGGTGTGACGGTGTGGGAGGTGTGGAGTGGGGGAGCGGAGCCCTGGTCCGGTCTCTCCTCTGACGCTGTACTGGCTGAACTTAGGGCTGGGCACCGGTTGGCCTGGCCTCGGACCACCTGCCCTCGACGACTTTACCAACTCTTGCTGGCTGCATGGCGTATGGCATAGTAAGGTTGCTCTCAATCCGGCTCCTTCGTTTTCGGTGTTACTGATCACGCAACAGGCAGGTAACAAATACCTGCGGCATTGTACCAGATGCACCAGACAGACGTGCCCTTTGCCTTGCGTGAAAATGAAGAGGTGCGTGTATGGTAAGTAGACCTTGTATACGAGCACGCGTGTGATCTTCCATCGGTCAGGCGCGGATCAGACCGCTATTTTATCTGCATGAGTGCTCTTCATACCCACTGAAGAGATGCGGATGTGCGTTCCTGCTACATTTGACGTAGTGGAGGGTGTTTCTCGGTGAATGATCCAAAATATGCGAAATAGACCGAGGGTCTAGTAGCACACAAGCATTCTCTTAGCGATCCCACCACTGCTATTTGCCCGAAACGGTACCAAGACTGTTGGAATACCAGGCCGCGGCCTGTCCGGTCGTCAGTTATCTTCATGCAGGTCGAGTCGTGCGCTCGGAGCAATAGGACTGCTCCACAGAGCTACCTCTTTCTTGCATCCCCTCTTCGCGTTCATAGTGAACATTCTTCCGTACAGGCATAGCTAGTCACGATGTAGGGTAAGCCTGCACAATCTTTCATAAGCGGCAGAAGTTGAGGTGAGGTCAACTCGACGACTTTTCCCACAGGCCGAAAGGGTGAAAAATTTAGAGCAAGATGGGTAGGCAATAACTTGAGAGGTTAGACATAAAAAAGAATTGTAGAATTCCTTCTTCAAAGATGTATTTTTTGATCAAAATGCGGAAGCAGTTGTCATTAACTCCTACTATATTAGAGAAAAATTTCCAACGAGAAGTAATGGCTGCACTAGAAAGTGAGCCATCATTCAATATACTATTTTAAATACCTAGGCATACAAAAGATGCATAAAAGGGACAAAAATATATCCTTGTCTACTTGGAATGAATTTGAAAGACACGCAATTAATCGTCATCCGCAAACGGGAACTCCGGGTGCCGTCGCATGCTAAAAGGAAGGGATTCGTAACGCTTCAACACTACTCAATTAATTAGAGGCCCTAATAACACAAAGAATAGCAGTAGCTTACGCGGCCCCTTTCAGCACTCTACTTCCGCCTCCAAGTTCTTCCAACCGTCTCATATCCTCCTTGCTGAGTTCAAAGTCAAATACCTGACAGGAAACAAAAGGCGGTTCTCACGGTGAATTTTCAAAATGACAAAAATGGATTGTTGTTTCTTACTTGTAAGTTTTCAGCTAATCTGGTAGGTGTTTTGCTCTTAAAAATGACACAAAGGCTGCGCTGAAGTCCATGTCGGAGGGCAATCTGAGCTGGTGTCTTGCCATACCTCTTGGCCAGTTCGAGAATCAATGACTGCTCCATTAGCGGAATGACTCCACGCTTGCTTGGAAAGCAAATGAGCTTGAAATGCGTGTCAAAGTAAAGTAAATTAGCGGAGAAGTGCCATGACAGACTCACAAATGAAGGTACGGACAGCCGAGGGTGAAGTAGCCGGTTACTGGGATACCTCTCGTATGGGCGAAATCGATGAGTGGCTGATTGGGAAAATTGGCGTTGGTTTCGATTTGCAGCATCGCAGGTGGAATGTGACAATTTGTGAGGATCCTTTCAAGCTGATTGGTGTTAAAATTTGACACCCCAATTCGGCGACACAGCCCCAATGACACCAGATCCTCCATAGCCTGTAGATTAGAATTAAAACATACTGCTACTGAATATAAATAAGTAAAAATATTTTTGTAGGAGATCGAATGCTATGGAACTCGCCTTCCAGGTGTCTAACAGATCCACCTTGTCAAACAGCGTGTTGCCAGTCGCATCTTTCGGTACCATGACGTCACCAGACTATAGAAAATAGTGAAGAAAAACCCAATAAAATCACCCAAAATGAAAATGGGTTTGATCAATGTAGGGACAGACTTCGGTACCTGATATGGAACTGGCCAGTGGATAAGATAGAGATCTAGATACTCAACCTGGAGCTGTTTTATGGATGCTTCACAGGCAGTTTTTACCAACTCCGGACGGTGAAAAGTGTTCCACAGCTAAAAAACGAAAGGTATGTCAGTTTCCATTCGGAAACCGAATTTACCAACGGAAATAGCAAAGTAACCCGGATCCCATGAAATTCCCACTAATTTAGTAACGCCACCTTCATGAAAAAAATTTCTAGAACCCTTCAATATTCTTCACTACAGCACAAAGCTGTTGCGACGAATATTACCTGAGTCGCCACCACAGTCATCAGGAGGGCGGGAAAGGGGGAGAGGAAAGCAGGATTATTTTTTCTATTAGCTGTCACACCTTCAAAGTCACGATAGCACACAGCCACTGTTATAAATCAACCTCAGAAGCTCGCCTACGCTGATGCTGACTGAGTTCGATTTGACGGCCTTTTGGATGTGTTATTAGAGAGAAGGTGTCAGTGAAATAGGCGATTCTTGAGTCTGTCAAACGTGGATCAGCACCGATGTCAAAGACGGAAGAATGTCAAGGAATGAATGCAGAGTTTTCTAGAAAGGTCAGCGACCCCGGAAAACGCTTCTGGGTCAATTGTGAAGAGGTTGCCTGCTTATCTAATTCTGGCACAAATTTGAACGCTTCGGAACCCGTGCGCTCGTTCAGCCCATTTGATTTGCCAATGTCATGCACAGATAGATGGACAGTGCATGGAAAGGAAACCACCTAGTCTCTTCAGTAGTCAACCAGCAGTCACGTACGCATACGCTGCATCCCCCCACTTATTCCATCCGCATTAAAGTTTTCGTCTCCTTCAATTACTTAGGTTGGAAACTTGGCAGGAGCAAGTCCCCCTCATAAGCACCGCTTTTTACGAGGACAAACACCTGAAGTATCGAAATTTTGGCGTACAGTGGGTATTGAAATGGCTTTGCGCCTCTATGAGGAAGTGGAGCAAGACGTTCTAGGATGGCTTCACCGTTACTAATGCAACGGTTGAAAACTGTAAAGTGCTACCCAACCCTCAAAACCGTTCTTCCTGTCTTCTATTTATTTGGAGGTCCTGGGCTAATAGATGCATATATCCATTGAGGCCAGAGCCAAGGGCAACCAGTATTGAGATCGTAATTCAACAGACTGAAATCTCCGAAATCTCTCCGAAAAGTGTCTACAGTTCTTCCAGAAAAGCATGCCAAAAAATTACAGCTCTTCCACTGGCCAGAAATTTGGAAGGCGAATTAACACAAAACTGACAATGTGGCAGTCGCGAGCGAAGTTGACCGAGACAAAACGATGGCGAACATTGTCAGAGTAATCAAGAAAAGATGCGATGTAAAAGATACTGAAACTATTTTTTATCTCGGGAGATGATAAATTATCAATCCGGAAAGTACTTCACCGCTGACACCACCACGCGAATGTGAATTCTACGACTCCTTCGTAGAAAGCACATACTCAGAAAGTAAACTGGGCAGTTTTGAGGTTAAACGCCTCAATAAAAGTGCCTCGGGTGCGTTACTTTTTTACCCTTTCCAAAAAGGAAATTCATCATAAGAGGACCTTAACATTTACATTTGCAAAATCCAAAAATCAAACCGATGCCAGATGGGAAGGTGATTAAATTACGAGACTGAAAAACCTACCTTTGAAGTGATGAAGAGGTCTTCTCGCGCAATCCGTCCTGAGTGGATCCAGGCACCCAAGTGGTCTCCTATCTCGGTCTCATTTGCGTAGAGGTGCGCACAATCGTAGTGGCGATAGCCCAATTCAAGAGCCGCATTCATTGCCGTCGTGAGGTCACTGCCCTTCAGCTGGGATGGAAGAGAAAGTCGAGAATCGGCTTCCAACCTGTTGGTATACCTTTAGAAATGTTGCAATTGTTTGTGTCAGCACTTTTTAGGTTCTTTCAAGTTTTAATGAGAGGGACTGAAGACGGTGGAAAGACATGAGGTATTCACGCCGGTGCAACCGTTGTCGAACGTTACCACCAACTTGAAATCAATTGAAAAATATTAATTCCGCGGTGGATTTCGAATGCAGTTGGAAACGCAGCGATAACAGCAGTCATTAAAAAGAAGGCAGTGCCCTACCTCTTTCTTAATGATTTACCGCAGCACCATGAAGTCAGCACATCCAGACGCTGGAGACGGTTGTCACAACCCGCATCAAAAGATATAGCATAAGCACTTCAATGAGACTTAGTGTCTCTGCACACAGACCGCACGAATAACGAGGAGAAGCAGGGCCGGGCTTTCATGATCATGGCACTCCTAGCTCTAAAATTTTAATTAAGCTCCTGGGATTTCTACACTCAGTGTTTCGTCACGAAGATAGTGGCGTATGGTGCTGGTGCGGTCAAATATTATTCACGCAAGAAATTCTTTTAAAATAACAGAAACTTCCCAAAACGTATCTCAATGAGCAAATAAAGTGATTATACGGCAAGAAAAACCTCAAAAATTGAACCCTTTCTGACAACCATTGATTTCGCTTATAAATCCGATAAGGAAAAAGCAAAAAATGTTTATAACATTACCTTGAAGGTTCCTATACCGATACAAGGAATGCGAAGACCGTTCTCTGTTTTCAGATCGGGAATATGCACAGGATCCTGCGGAAAAGAAAGTGGGAAAAATAAATGCCCCGAAGCAACCGAAACAAGGAAAACCGATACTTCATTAATATTTCTCTTTTAAGAAAGAAAAAATAGGTGCGTATTTAATGCTGGAAGCGACTGGGAGTCTTGAAGACGGTATCGAAAATTCTGGAATTTTTAATTGGTCTAAAAACGACCAATGAATTTCGGATCTTGGGAGCGTGAGAACCAATAGGAGTCATGAAAACAGTTTGGAAAGCGCAAGATTTACGAAAGAGGTTTCTTTCATTCTTCCTTTATAGCAAAGATCACTCAACTCCCATAGCTAATGAAATGTTATTTTCTGTTTCAACTGACTCCGTATCACCAAAGGCAATCATGGGTCTAAAAGTGCGAAGAAGATTACCAAAAACGGAAATTTGATGGTGAGAAAGTCGACTGGCATTTTGGCAAGAAAATACATCAATTTTTGCATCCAAGTAGGGTGAGATTGCAAAAAGAAAATAAAGACACAAACTGGTCGCATTTTAAGTAAGAAATAAATAAACAGGCAACGAAAGCACGTAGTGTAAGCGCGTAAGGAAGATTAATCTGCGTTTCCTGTGCGCGTCGGCCACAGAGATACCCATCGGATAGGCCAGGAAATGTCAAAACAGTTGGCGTAAATTTTAAACCAATTAAGATGTGAGACAAAAAAGGAGGTTTTGGCACTTTAAGTGAAAAAAGGAATCTATTGAAAGGTGATACGATATTCCACTGAAGTGAAGTGATGAGTGAGAACGCTCTCTGGGATACAATGACCTCTGAAAGCCTTTTACAGCAAACGTAAAGACAAAGACGAGGATTAGTGTCGAGTTCATATGGATCACAGTAATGAAAGATAACACTACATTAACTCACCACGTGGTGAAAAGGAAAGCGTGGCAAAGGTTAACACTTCGTGCTCCGATCTGCCTCTTGGATGTTGTGAGTGAAGCCGAGGCTTTCGACGGTGCAAGTTATTTGATCCCCATTCTAACCTATCCATCCCATACCTTCCACCCCACCTCTCCTGTTTAGCTAAATCTACCTGCCAAACTAATTTGAAATATGGGAGGGAGGAAAGAAAAAACCTGAAGGCGCAGTAAATTCACTAACCACTTATTGAAGAATTTCAGCGGGAAAAACTTCAAGTGAATGATGAAGCTTGGTTAGTTAATAAAGCAGCATTGGATGGTGTCTCGGTGATTTACAACTTGGTTTCAATAATTTTCCGACTTTCAAAATTGGTTAGGAATAGTGAAGGTGAGAGGGAGGGAGCAATAGTCAGTCCTGTCCGAGAGTGTCATGTGACCGTTTTCATGTAACAAGTCAGCTTTTCTCGCAGATTAGTAGGGATAGCTGTCATGCCATGAGGTGAGAACGGCTACAAACCTCTCGCACACACACACAATGAGCACAACTGAAGGAGGATCCGGACACCGCGATACGCTGGGTGTTGTGGCCACACAGTGCGTCCTAAGGACACTAAAGCATTTCCGTGGGATAGTTGCTCAATGGTAGGTATAAGAATTCGGCTCTGGACGTATGTCCGTGAAGTAGATGAAAAGAATCGAGGGGGTCATGCTACCGATGAGAAAGATGCGAACTGATCTGATCATCGAGGACAATGAAGTCATGACCACGAGAGGCCAAAGAAGAATTCTGGGAGCTAAATGTGCCTATTTAGGCCGTCTATGCTCCGATTCATGACAGCCTTAAGTTCAGTAATGTGTGTTTCAATTGCCGACAGATGAACATGAGTTCGGGGACCACACCACGAACAAAACCTTCTTCTTGTCCTAGGACTAGCCAGAGAATGTTGATTACTTTCCCTCACCTTCACTGGAAGCTGACACAACAACAAGTTATCCTTCAAGGCATGCCGGAGACAACACAACCGTTTTTTTTCAACGAATTCTTCGTTTTCTTAGGGCTTCATCTATTCAACTTCGGATAGTATTTACATCAGTTGCCAGAAAAAAGATGCTTCTGAAGTATAACATTTTCGGACACATAAAAAACCCGGAGAAATAATGAGAAAAATCATTCTTTCCTAAGAAGCTCCCGATCAGTTAGACACCCACCTTATTCTTTAACACTTCTGACTGAACTTAAGTTAATGAACAGCAGAAAATTTCTGCCCAGAGTGAAAGAAAAGCAGCATTTTAAGGAATAATAATGGCAAAATGAAGTGTTTTCTCGAAGCAGTAAACAGAACAGTGGCTAAGTGGGACTAGCGAAACATCGGTGGCACGTGATCCACGTCGCCTAACCACAACAACGCGAATTAGTCTCTCATTCATCAATCCAAAAGGTTCTTCAAAGCCATACTTATTTAGACGTATTTCTTCGCTCCTCGTAGTCGTGATGGAAGCCAAGCAAACGTCGGGAGGGCTCCGTACCTGGTTAACCAGCAGTAATCAAATGCACACCTTTCTTATTACGCAAGAGGGAAGTTACGAAAAACTCCTACCAACGAAGGTAAAGCAGTGCCCATGGCACGCAAAAGGACACAAAATTTGCCTTCAAAATAGAATTATTCTGAGGAAAAAGGCATGAATAAAGTGAGAGCTGGGAGATGACATTAATTCCTTTCAAGTGGCTGACGTCATTCACAACCATTCAAAGACATCAAAAGAAAAGTAAAAAAAAACCTGGAGGCACACATAAACACAATAAAATCACATCTTCTTCCTTTAATGCCAACAAGTGAAATCATCGTATTTACACCAAGTTTTAATAGGCGCAGATAAAGTGGAAAACAAAAGATGGAATTAAAAGCAGGGAGGGAGGAAAGAAGGGGTGAAAAAGCGAAGTTATGAAGAGTAGATAGTGAGGAGTCAAGATCAGCCATAGATGAGAAAATTGACCGCCCTCTCAACCGACCACTCAGCCTTCTCCAGGGCTGACCAACAGACCTCCAGATCGGTGCACAGCTGAAGCCGCACCAATCGGCGGAGGAGGAGGAGGCGCAAAGCCACCTTGACACGCCAGTCACGAGCCTCGGGTGCCATCACATCGGTAAGGGGAGGAGGTGAGTGTAAGTAGATGATGTCGCGCGCGGTAGGCGAGTTGATGGCACAATTGAGAGCTTCGCGGGCCTCCGCTGGACTACAGCCTCCAGGGAGACCACGCACGACCATTTCCACTTCTGCCTCATCAAATTTTGTCATCTTGGGGGGAAATGTGGTAAAGAAGGAGGGCGTTTCACTCGATTCTACCAGAGAAAAACAATAAGGGTGAGTAAACTCAATCTTAAAATCCACTTCCTGTAGATTGACAACAGCCAGCAATATGAGGAGCATCTCATTTAATGCACGACTTCCACTATTACGGGTTCGTATGAAATGAGATGCTGCCTTGGCGGTGCCACAGACCGTATCTAGCATACACGACTACCCGCGACACCTCGCCTGCCTAGGCTGACAAAGTTCCGCAACCTCTTCAAAGACAGCCCCTCAAAAGTCTGCAATCATTCTCGAAAACTTGTAATCGCTAGAAATTAGCACTCGCGAGGTACCAAAGCAACTCTTTACAAGTTATTCTGGGATGGTTCAGGTGCACTTCTATGTCTAGACTGCAGGCGGAAACCGTTCCCCATCAAAATGATTCCATGTCTTTGCGATTACAAGTCACGATCCCCTTGAGTCAGAAGAAGCGAAGGGGGGAGGGACGGTGGCGCATCGACAAACCTTACGACTGCCACCGCCTCTTTCAACTTGGTGTGAGGGTTGGGACACCCTGACTATTATACGGCAGGAGCATAAATTCTCATCCATTAGAACGCACGCACAGCAGGAGAATGAGATTCGCTAAATTCGTCCATGAGTGAATAAGATCACTTAAAAACGGCTGCTGGTTGGCACAAGTAGAGGCCTCCGGACACTAAACTCCATGTCCCAACCACGAGGATTAAAAAAGACATCTTAAAACCCAATTTAAGATGTCGAGGTGTGAGTGGTCAACCTGCTTTGAGTCCAATGTACTTCAATAAGGGTTCGAAGAATGGAAGGCCAATTACATACGCACCACAGGAATACACAGATTACGGTGGTAAGTAAACCAAACACTTACCCACTTCAAACCAATGGAGACAAAAGACACGTGAACTTGCCTGAGAGTTGGTGGGGGGCGGTTGATTGTGCAGATTGCTGAAATGAAAGAGATAGATGATAGTAGTTAGAAGTTGAAAGGTGAGTGTGGACAAGTAGTGTTAGCAGCGATCAGGGAAAGAGGGACACATCGTGGAGGTGGGAAGGCAAAGAAGCGCAAACGACTAGAGGCAGGAGAGGCGAAGAAAATGAATGCTTGATTAAAAAGCTCGTTTTAGTCATCGCAAGAAAGCAGAGGAATCAGTGAATAATCTGGATGCAGATAGACGGAGAATCCGGCAATTATTTTGTAGTGGATTTTTGAGAAGCTAATCTAAGATTTTTTCTTTCTCCAACCAAACAAATTTCCATTCTTCCGTTTCATTCAAAATAAAGGTATCGTGATGCGTAATCAGTGAACTATGATGGTGATAAGGACACATAAGCTTGTCGCACACTGAACGGAAAGAACACCAGACCGAAAATAGGCGTCTTTCTGCTTGTAGGTGGGAGGGAATAAAGGTAGTAGGTTTCATGAAAAGATGGAAATTTAGGTCTCAATAGGAGAGCAGTGGGAACAAACGGATTCCAAGAAATAAGGCGTTGGTTGATTTAGGAAGACAAGACAATGAAGACAATTGTTGCGATTTACTTGGCGAAGTGATCGTTGCTTTCCCATCTCTCCACCCTGCCCAATAAGACACGCTTAATTGCAAATCTCCCTTTCACGAAAGGCTCCTTCTTCAGGGGGTAAGGAAAACGGACTTAGCCCCAGCCACATACGTTTTCACGCCAGTTGGACCACAGAAAAAAGGACATGGAAAACAGTCGCGTATTCAGGGTAGCACATAGCTTTCTTGGGCATGAAATGGTGCATACTTCAGAACCGCGGGGCAGGTAGGGCGTGGATCATCTGGAATTAACTAACAATGTCTTCATTCAACTACAAAAGTCTTCACGCCATAAGTCAGTCGAAGAGCAAACACCTTAAAGGCGGAGTTCCCTGAGGATAGGGAAACTTGATTGTTAGCGAAGATTATCATCACTCGTCTTAATTCCACCAAAAATTTCTCTTCTTAGTTAGAGTGGGCGACAACCCATCTCTTGATCACTCGCAAGCTGCTCTTATCAGGCCAATTTGGAATGGTATTATTCCAATCAGGAATAGAGGCTCTTCCGCAACATGATGCAACTCTCTTCGAATGGTTCATCATCAACATTAAACTGTTGGCGTTGAACCACCTCGGGACGATTCTTTGTGCTATCGCCTAACACACCTCCTCCAAACGCCAGACAATAAACTTGACGAGAAGCCTGCTTCTCCATCCACGAAACCGAGGTTAAACTGGTCTTCTAAAGCAAAAAATGTTGAACCCCGTTTACTTGATTTTGATGGTATGAGGAGTCAGAATGAGAGTGAAAAGTAGTGTGAGGATGAGCAATAAAATGCAATTACATCGAAATACTCCAAAAGGCACCGAAACTGCTTTTCATTTAGCACTAAAGTGGGATAAAGCACGGCCGTCTTATTCCAAAGGAAGGCAAAAAAGCCTAAAAACGCCAAAACAATTGCGAGAAACTTGAAGGGCATGGCTAATTGAGCGGCACTTTGCTGGAAGAAGAGGAGGAAACCATCGACATTCAACAAAGGCGGCTGTAAAATTTTTGGCCACCAAAATAAAAACGAAACATCAAAATCAATTAATAAAGAGGAGATTTAACGACTTCTCAGAAGTGAGCAAAATGAAGGGAAAAGCAGAAGACAAAATTAGCAGTGGGTACGACTTCATGCTGAATCGCAGAGAACTGGCAAGGATGAGTGCTTCCTCACGAACAACAGATCATCTTCTGATGGCACAAAGCGTAGTCAAGTGTTAAATAAGGACTTCACAAGAAGTGACAATTTGGTCAGACTTCAAAGTAGTTGTGGAACGTTGCAAGAAGGAGCTTTACAGTGAGGCGATGTAAAAATATTTGCAAGTCTTATGAATTCAAAAGAAAATCTGCTCAATCCTGCAGAGTAACCAGATGCCAAAGATGAAGTAGAAAAGATGAAAGGGAAAATTTGATGGAATTAACAAAAACTGGTCAAAAAGTGAGCAGCTTAAGTGACAGCCAATGGAAGTCGGTCAAAAGAGTTGAAAGAATCGAATAAAATTCGCATTTTTTTTCTCAAAAGTATTTCGAAAACTTTGACCACAAAAAATGACTCAAAAAGCAAGGCAAGTTACATGACCAAACGTCACAAAAGTTAGACAGACATGCCCTACGAAATTATCAAACCCTATTGCCACCGGAGGAAAACCATAGCCTACCACCTACTGCTTTCATCAGCTCAAGTTGTGCGCCAATTAAGAAACAACAAAAAAGGTTCAATTTCCCTTCTCCGAGGAAGACTATTCCTTATCTGATTTATTATTTTAAGCATGACTGACCTTCTTTTAATACAGGATTTGGTGCAACATAAGATGCTAATTAGGAACGCCAGTCACATATATGTGACGGTGATAGGGAACGTAATAAAAAGCAGCACAAATCAAACCCCAAATCAAGAGTCAAACTAAACTACTAATTAGCGTGTGTTTTCCGACCTTTGAGTAGAAGGGAGGCGGGGGAGAGGTAAGAAGGATCAATCAAGCAAGTGAGCAGGTAAACAAGCGGGCAGGAATGCCATTTTGCCCCCGGATGAGATGGGAGGAGAAAAGTTGGGATGGTTAGAAGGGAGGGATGAGAGATGAGAATATAGGCCCCTCCTGAGAACTAACAGCCCCAACTGTTGGAGCAAACCTAGAAACATAAAAAGAGACCCTGTGAAGGAATTGAGATGAGTTAAAAAATAAAAGAATGGACCGACGAAATTTTTTAAATGAA